TTGATTATTCAAGAAAATTATGGCGAATGATAACTATCATGAGTTTCTCATGAATACAGCCATGTTTTAAGTTTGTATTTGTATGTTAAATCTAGTCTAAGAGGTTTAAAAAAAAAAAAAAACGTTCAAAACATTCAACTACTATAAATCTGTATTGGAATTAAGGTCAGTATTTACGTCCGAGAACTAACGTTACAGCTAACACGTACACTGTGAGAGGAACCATAGTACCGTAACAAACAACCATATAGTAATGATGATAAATCAATTATAACATTAATAAAGAATGAGTCCAACACCCCCATTGCGGTGTTTGTTAGACTGTCCTATACAAGCTTTTGTTGGATAAACACCTTTAGCTAGCTAGCATAGCAGCTTAGCATGATTGTATAACGTTGGATAGCTCAGCCAGAGAAACCAGGTTGAACCTCTGGAGAAGACTTCGTACTGTTGGAACATCATATTAATTATTGTATGTTATCTTCATGGCTGTTCTCAGCTAAATTAACAAGAAACATTAAATAAATGAATGAGTGTTGATGCGCCGTCCTTCATCGTTAGCTGCTACCTAGCTGCTAACGACGACTGTCAGGTTTAACGACACTTTTCTGACAAATAAGTACATAATTGAGACTATGGTTGAATAAATAAGTAGAATTATAACCTCCGATCCGATCATATAAAAGTCTCCATCCTCCTCGAGCTGAAATTTAACAGGTTTTTGTCCAAACGTTTTGCTAAGCGCCATAGTGAAATGAAATAACAAAGCTCAATGCTACTGCGCATGTGCGAGAACGGTCTGTCGCTGAGAAGTGACGTTGCACTCGTTTATCAACAATCAACAGTGATGGATGACGTATTCAGAAACACTTTTTGTTATATTCCATGGAATGCTCTTAACATCCCGATAGCAATGAATATATTAAATGCTTTGACAATAAATACATAAAAAAATGTCATCTGTGGAAGCCGTGGCGCTGTAAAAAGCACTATTAGCCCAGCTAAAATAACTGGATGGCCTACCTGCCTGTCAGCCTTCCATCTCGTGCACAAATGTATCTCGTGCCCTCATTGGTCATGTGCGCGTTCGTGTGTGTTGGAGAAGGGGCAGATTTTTTCCGGCTGCTACTTTCAAATTCTAGCGCACTCGAGCTGGTTTCTCCATTCTTACCTACCCTACATTTAAGTAAAAGTACTTGTACCACAATTCAGAAGTAGCCTACTACACAAAAAAAGTATAGCATTACAATTTTTGTGAAGACAGTAGGCTACAAGTATTTACGTATAATCATGAAAATAAAGTTACTTTTTTTAGAAACATGTCCCCAGTGAATGTTATATGTTATGTCATTGAACTATTATTAATGGAAGATCAGGGGTTTACTTTTGTAGTTGTTTTTTAACGACTAAATAATGATAATTTTCATTATGGATTAAATGATACGGTGGCCCTGAAGTGCAATTCAAAACAGCATTTCAGGAAACACGACAGCATTTCAGGAAACCACAGCATTTCACAAAACACTACAGCATTTTAGAAAACGCTACAGCATTTCAGAAAACGATACAGCATTTCACAAAACACCACAGCATTTCACAAAACACTACAGCATTTCACAAAACACCACAGCATTTCAGGAAACCACAGCATTTCACAAAACACTACAGCATTTTAGAAAACGCTACAGCATTTCAGAAAACTATACAGCATTTCACAAAACACCACAGCATTTGAGAAAACGCCACAGCATTTCACAAAACACCGCAGCATTTCACAAAACGCTACAGCATTTCACAAAACACCACAGCATTTGAGAAAACGCCACAGCATTTCACAAAACACCGCATCATTTCACAAAACGCTACAGCATTTCAGAAAACGCTACAGCATTTTTAGAAAACGCTACAGCATTTCAGAAAACGCTACAGCATTTCACAAAACGCCACAGCATTTCACAAAACGCCACAGCATTTCACAAAACGCCACAGCATTTCAACTTATACGGAAAGGGTATTCCTTTAGGGAGAACACTTCTTGTTTGTGATTGGACAGAGCCAGCCAGAGAAGCACTGCTTTGATTGGTTGTTTTTGCTGCCAGTCAAGAAATGACGCTTCGTGATTGGTCAGCACCCGACAGCGCAACATGTCCCAAAACATCAGCCGTTAGCTGTTAGCACACACTCAGAGCTCACAGCTCCTCATATCTGTTCAGAAACTGGACAAAAGTTAAACAAGAACAAAACACAGACTGTCTATGTCATGGTGAATACAGTCGCTGCTTTATTTATGTCTGTATACGGTTGTTGTGAGTTTGGACGGAGCAGCTACAGGTTGGTTTATCCCGATCGATCCGATCTCCATTCAGAAAACACGCATTTTAAAAGGTTTTTCGCCTGCCGTCTTGTCTGCACACAATAGTTTTTACTAACCGGTATCAGTATGTTGTTACTTCGGCATCATTTTGAAACGTGTATTGCAATTAAATCACGGTAAAATATGTTCATTTTGTTTGTTGTTTGTTGTTTGTTGTCGTTTCGCCGCGAGTTTTGATCGCTCAGTGATGATACTTATATGTCTGGAATCTGTGGAATCTCAGCTTGCTAATCGATATATTGTCTGTGCAGATCCGATAAGTAATAAGGGTATTTTACCATGAGTTCTGTGCTAAGTGCGTTAGCATTTTTTCGCTCAGGGCTAATTCAGAGCCTTTGTTATTACCCTTTTGTTTCGTTTAGCTAAAAATGGTTAATATTGTCTGAAAGCTGAGTTTCTTCCTGTTAAGTGAGTATGACACATTCATAGTTTATTAAATGTTAAGAAGCCCTCAGACGCTGTTTCTTGCAAGATGTTGCATCATGCCCCCGGTACCGAACACTTGGAACACACACACACACAAATTGCATGTCTTGTATGTAATTGTAGTTGTCTAACTTGAACCTAAGACAATCTGCTGTTCCTCCCTCCTGCTGAAATTATGGATGAAAAGCGTTTAGTAATCATAGATAACACGGCAGGGTCCGTGACAGTTTGTTTTCATCTGATTTCAAACAAAGTCTTGGTTTTTAGCAGGGACGTGCACAGGTACGGGCTAATATTGCCCGAGCAACAGCCCGTTTGCCCTTTTTGGCTGACCTGCCCCTCTGGAGAGGGCGAGAGTTTTTTTTTTTTTTTTTGTGGAATCAACATGTTAAGCACACAATTAGTATTGTAGCGTCTCGCTGCGGGAAGCACACCTCGTCAGCGCTGTCATCTACCCCCAATCACGTGACTTTGTTTACAATCTGACAGCTGATAGCAAAGGAAAGCCCTCCGTGTCCGGCCTCATATGGCTATGGTGATCACACCAAATGCCTGCCTGGCTTTGGTGTCCAATCCCCGGGTCAATCTGTCCCCGGAAAGGTCCCCGTTTTTTAAATATGCTTATATTGATTTTGAGTTGTTCTCATAGCAGTTAGAGTATAGGGGACAAACCAGGGGACTTTACTTCCTCTTGACACCGTCGGTTATTTACAAAAAATACACCTAAATATACTTGTGCTTCTGTCTTTCTGTGTCTTTCCATCTGCTCCGTAAACTCCCTCACCGGGCCGCTGCTCGCTCTTTTCTTGATCGCCCTCTCACAGGAGAACACTTCACTGTCCCGCTTCATTGTAGGATTTCTGCCATGTCTCTACTTTAGTTTGACCATCTCTGTTAATAAGTTATGGAATACTAAATAAGTAATTAGATACCTTACCGTTACTGCGCTCATAAAGAATGATAAGAATAAGAATAATGTGAATTGAACTGCATGGTTTCATTAATTAGTGAGTTTATTTAAGGTAGGCTAATTAGTTAAAGCCCTATGTTATCAGTATGTCTGCACAGCAGTTACAATGGGCAAACTACATTAGAACAGAATTGTCCCCAATAGCCGCGTTCACACCGGAGTACTTTTCCCTGTACTTTTCGCGTTTAGTTCCGTTAGTACCCCTTATGTCGCGTTCACACCAAAAAGAGTACTGAGTGCCGGGAACTTTTACCCCCATTTTTAGTGCCTGTTGAGAGATGGTACTTTCCTGGGGGAAAAAAGTGCCCCAGTTCTGATTGGCTGGGCGAATTGCAAACCACGCCCCGTAAAACTCTGAAATGTTTTGTAGAGCCGCCATTTTATTATCCTCGCATTAGCATTATTAGCATTAGCATTAGCCCAGCACACAAAATAAAACATGGGAGCGGTGGAGATGAGGTGTCGGCGTTCAATGTCACATTGGGCTTTAATGGTAAAATAACTCTTATTTTTAACTTAATTAATGAGGATGATTTTTTGGTTTAAATTAGTTTGAACATTCTTTGAATTGAAGAATAAGAACATATTAACTCAATATAATTGAATCAGCTAAATTAACTGAGCAGATCATAATAATATTTCTAATTGTGCATATATGTCACTTTGGGTTTACTGTAAAAGTTTAGGGTTAAAGTCCCGATGTGACACAGCAATATTTATCTCATTTGTTTCATATCAATTTGATCAAGAAATGTTTCCACAACAGGTTAAATGTAACGAAGGACATGTTATGTAAGCATTTTAATTCTTAAATGGCTTGAATTTTACCTTTAGCAACAAAAAAAAAGCTTTTGAAATGTAGCTCGTTATGTCACATGTGTTAGTCTGGCACATGGACATCTTGGACATGTTGTTATGGGAACACAAAATCAAATGTCCTGGACCATGACCCACCAGACTGTTCAGTGTGTGTCACTTGGGACTTCATCAGGCTAAAGCTGTATAAGGAACTTTCCAGAACATCTAAAGTTCATGTGACAAAAAGAATAAAGTGCCAACACATCTGAATTCTAAAAAGGTACAACTCCACACATTCCTAATACATTACTACATGATTTTGTTGTCTTGTGATTTTTAACAATACATTTAGGAGTTTGGCATCCTTCTTTTTTCACCCCTCCCTTAAATCTCCATCTTTGCCAAACACAATAATAAAGGTAAAGAGTCTTATTCATTTTATAAACTTAATGTTTATTCGTATATACATGAATATATTAATCTATAACCAAGAAAGGAAAGAATGTACATTGCAAAACAAAATCTTTATATACAAATGAATAAATAAACAAAGACAAAATCAAGGACAGGTTCTTTTTTTACACAGGTTTTGTGTTCTTGGGAAAAGTAGGAAAAATAAAATGAAAAACACACTGCAGTTAGAAAAAGTTCGGAAATTCTTTTCGTTAAAATGGAAAATGGCACCCGAGCATAGTTCAGGGGAACAAAACAAGAAATAAAAAACACACACACCACACCAGCTGGTTTTATTTTCTTGTAAACGCAGCCTTTTTGTTCGAACTCGCACAGAATCAGGTCAAATCACAAAAAAGGTACTTCATTTCACCACGGGCTACGACGACACACAAACCAGTCCAACATCAACCTCATCAGCACAGAAACACTCGGGGGGGGGGGGTGTCAGCTCATTTAAAGTTCCACTCATGTGCACAATGCTTTAGAGAACACGCGTAATATGGAGATGTAGCTGCTGCAGAAACATGTGACTGTGGAAAGACAAGGAATCGTTTTTAAAATGTTAAGCTGCGGAACGTATTGAGAGACAAAATCTATCGAAATCTTTACACGTAAAATTAAAAATCAATTTAGACAGGCCTTCGATTAATAATAATTTATAGAATTATTATTTGATCGTATTTAGGATGTGAAATTACTATTATATATTATTTATTATTTGAATAATCTACATTTAATTTTCTACTTTTCTTTTACATCTATTTTATTAAGTTTTCTTTATTAAAATGTTCTCATTTACAATTTGTTTTGTCTTTATTTTTGTTTTCACGGTATTAAATTGCACCAATCTGCATTAAAAGGTGCAATACAAATGGATTACTTGATAACAAATTGTGGGTTAGGGTGATTTTCTGGGAAGACAATAACCTTGACAAAATGTGTATTTTTTTAAGAACCTGTAAGCAATTTAAAATGGAATGTTTCAGATTGAACAAAAGTGCAATAGCAGATTATGCTGTAGTGATTCTCGTCCTTAGTCTATAAACAATTTGTGACATTAAGGAGGACCTTGGAGCATTAAAGGTCCTGTTACAGTTTGCTTTGAAATAATGGAGGAGGAATTCTAACAAACCTCTAATAAATGTCTAATATACCAGTGAAAAAAGGCTTTTCACTGCATCGAAAAATGTTTGTAACACGACTGATCTCATCGTTTTTCAAGAGGTGTTTTCGATGAGGTGTGTAAGAAAAGTAAAAATAAATGAGATTCTTAACCTAACATTTTTTATACAATGCATCTCAGACATAGAGTTTAGTTGGAAATAATAACCTGGTTTATGGTTGGAAACGCAAGATCATATTAGCAAAGCCCCATCACTTTTGAATATTTGCAAAATTAGCCGCATTAAAGAAGACGTGGGGTTTCTACAACAGCTTCATCTGACGCTCCGCACAAACATCTTTGCTTCAAGTTTCTCGGGCTACAGTCTAATTTTCCACATGGGAAACGGTCCACAGTGTTCTTCTCACCCTTTTTTTTTTTTTTCAGAAAAATGCAACGACAGTAAACATACAAATCTTTTTTCCTCACTGTGAAAGGCAGAGGACTCGTCTGTTAAAAAGCAACATTTTTTTCTCTTTTCTTTTTCATTTTTGGCACATGGAGGGTCGCCAACAACATAAGTGAAGGGCAAATGTTCACTATGACACAATTAAGCGGGAGCGAGGCGATTTATTTTTTTTTGTTCACAGTGCTCAACATGAAGCGCCGATCAAGTGAAAGGTCAATGGTCACAGTGTTCCACAGCGAGACATGTACCGCCGTGAACAACGTCCAGCTTCTGCTGTCCTCACCATTTCGCTATCACACGTTTAATGGGGGGAATGCGGGGGGGGCTTCATTCATTTGATCGTTTGGAGAATTATGAACTCATGCAGGTGGAAATAAAAATAAAAAGGCAACACATGGTCGCAATCCAGGCGAATGTAGTGTGTATGAACAAATAAGGAAAAATCCAACCATCGATATATTTCAGCATTTGGTTTAACCACTTTCCCATATGCTGTCATTTCCTACATTTCCCAGGATGCTGTGCAACATGTTTATATAGTCAGAAGCTGGCTTGACTTAAGGCTTGAGTATTAACGGCGCGTTACCTTCAGGGTCAAAGAGCACAACAACATTCTGTGGAACTACAGGTTACTGTAGGCAATTCTTTTTTCTGAAATGTTGTTTATAAATCTTTTCACTTTAAAGATAAGGACTAAAGGATGCACCAAGACCCCAGGAAGTGCGCCGGTCATTGAAGCAATTGTTCCTAGTGGCCAAACGATGGTACTACAACTTCATTGTAAGTCCGTGACGTCATTGTGCCCAACAATACTTCTTCACATTGACTTACATTGGAAAAAAGATGTCAGTAAATCAGTAGAATTTTCTTAAAACTAAATCAACTACCCAGTAGGAACACTCTAATAGCCCTTATTTAAATCATAAGGGTCTAAAAGTTGTTAACTGTGCTTAATTGTGCTCGGTTTGAGCACGGGAGATCGAAGGCGGGGCTTATGGAAAACGAGAGTGCGCACGCTCTATGGACCCAGATACGGGTACGTTTGCTCTCAAGAGTCAGGCCATTTTGGCTTCATGCGCCACAGGGCAACTCTACGGAAAAGAACGGGGTCCCGCCTTCAACACGTGCCCCTGTTCTCTTTATACATCTGGGTATGAATGCTAAGAAACATAGCATAGTATCATGTATGAAGCATAAGTGCAGATTTAAGAGCTCTTTTACACAGTTCTTACACAAGTCAGTTGGAAACAAACATGCAGAAGCTGGAGGTAAGCTACAGCTGACAACCGTTATTTTTTTCAAATCCTCCGCCCGTTTCAAATCAGAAGCTGCTTTTATCTGAAATAAAAGCCCCATTGTTTTAGAAATAACCACTAATGTTGTCCTTGTGAAGAGCATATTCACTGGGTTTGGGGTTAGCTAACGGTAAATTAACAGAAAAGGGACTGCAGATGGAAATTAGCCTAAATCCTCTTCTTTGAGATAATAATTGAGTAGTGTGACCTATGTATCAACAGAGGGAAGCTGTACAGAATACTTTAAAAAAGCCCTTCAAGAGTTTACTGTTGTTGGAATGTATTTGTGGGAAAGGGAAAGTGCATCACCAAGAACTGGTTAGCTGTTTTAGGTTGGATTTAACCTTTAAAGAAACACGTCACGGAAAGCACAGAAAAAGCAGCGAGGAGAGTCTGTTCCCTCGTTTGCAGTTTTGGCAGCATCACCGAAGCGCCTCCTACGCACTGCGTCTGATTTAAGAAGCTTTTCCTGCACTTTGACAACTTTTCCAGATCTGGAAATCATCAAAAAAATATAATTTCAACACGTCTGGCAGGATAAATCAGCAGGACTTAGGAGCAACACACAGGCCAAGCATGGCACGTTTGGAACTGATGGATATGAAGGATGATCCGCCATGTTGGAAGAACTGAACCACAGTTAGGGTCTTCTACCCGTGCAACAGTCCAGGGTTAAACCAAATCATCAGTTTGCTCCTAAAATAACAGATTTTTGTTTATTCTTTCATAGGTTTTTATCCCGAATTTCTCTACTGTAGTATTTCAGGAAACATAACTAATAATTTTGTTGTTTGAAAAAGGTTTCACTCAGGTGTATGGAAGCCTATTTTTGCCAGGAAAAGGAAGGAATTTAAAGAAATTAAAAACTGAAATGTATTTTGGGATGATTGTATAGTATTTATGTTCAACTGCGACAAAACAAGCTAATTAAAGACTTTCACTTGTAATACAAATGTTACTGGGATGTTTTCGGTTTTTTACTCATATTTGTATCGAATGATTTATTGAGAAATGTTGGGAAAATAAATGGATACAAATATTCATTAGTGTTATTAAACAAGTTTTTTTCCTAACCATTTCTCCATCTTTATTTTGTTGGTCTTTTCTTGGCAGTGATGGTTTTCCATATTAACTTATTTTTTGGAAAACAGCAAACTAATATTAAAAACGTCTCCCCCCGCAGAGGAGAAGAGATGTTTTGTGTCGTCTTCCAACATGGCGGCGGGCGATCAGGAAGTAGAGAAATCCGTGAAGTGATGAGGATAACTAGCAGCACCATATGAGAGCAGAGAGATGCTAAATAAAATGTACAAAGCAAAAATGAATAAAAATGTTGATATCGTGACAAAGTCTATTAACAAAAATCTCATGGTCCGTTTCAAAGCACATACTGCACAGTTGGTGTTAATGGATATATACACTCGGTTGCTTTTCTGCTCACTTGTTCTTCCCTCTGGAACGTTTGGGTTGGGGTCCCAGTCACTGCCACGTCCTTCGCTGTGTAGTGGTTACAACTCATTAATAATAAAAATAAAAAGAAGCATGTTATTCATGACTGTGCCCACTGGATTTTTTTGACACCAATGTTTCCATTTCCGACCTTTTTGTTTTAGTTTTTTTGTAACATGGCAGCTTTTTAGATTTGAAAAGAGTTCAGCTCCCCTCCACTGGTGGTAAAACGCCGAAGGAAAATGTCCCAGCGTCCACAGAGCGTGAGGGGTTCAGTGCCCCGGTCCCAGAAACACTGTCGACATCAGGAACCTGGGGTAAAAGGCGGCGGTACACTCATGAGAAAAAGTTCCCTGACAAAATTGAAACACATTCGAAACGGCCAGCTGTACGTGGCGGCTTTGTGTTGTTCGTGTGTGTTCTCCGTGACAGGGTGAGTGGCGTTCAGGGATCGAGGCTGCCGAGGAACTCTGGGGTTTTGACATTATTTTAACAAAGGTGATTAAAAACTCAAGCAAGAGGCTTGAACGAAAACCTTTAAGTTTATGTAAACACTTGTAAACTAAAAGTAAAAGAAAAAACAGGAAATGGATCTGCTTCTTCACAAGCAACGGGACATTTTACCCCGAGTGTTCGACTGGTCCCTCCGCCGAGCATTCACCGACACTTTTTCCACAAACGTGTCCTTTTTGTTGTCTTCGGAAAAACAGCATGGACGTTTCCACGCGCCTTATAAAGCCCTGAAGGGTCCTGATGATGCGACAGCTGTTCCTAAGTGCTTCCTCTGCTTTCTGCTCATCCACAGAAAGGTTGGTCATTCATCTCCTCTTGTGTTTTTGTCCAAAACCAAAACTCAGATACTTTTGCCTCAGACAGAACACAAATGTTTCTTCTGAGGAGTGGGAGACCAGAGAGAGGGTTAAAGGGGTTGGTGGAGGGGAGGCAGGAGGTGGCGCGTTTCTCCCTTCAGAAAATCCCTTTAGCTATTTTCAGTCCCTTCTGTTTCATGCGAGGCAGCGTGGAGCTGGCCACGTTCTTGGTCCTCATCGGCCGGGCAAGGCCGCGCTTCTTCAGCACAAAGTCGTAGTTGGCAGTGGAGTTCATGGCGTAGAAAACGTTGGCGTTGTCCGGGATCCGGAGCTCTGCAGAATGAGAAGGAGCAAGTTGAAGTCAGGCAAAATAGATGTGGTTCCATTGTGTTGAAGAGAAATGACAGTTAAATACAACAAAAGTACATGGTTGTGATTATTGGCTCATGACATTTGTATAAATGTAGAACCACAGTCACAAAGATGATTTAGTTTAAAGAGGCCCTATTGTGCTTTTTGGGGATTTCCCTTTTCAGTAGTGTATTATATAGGTTTAGATTATAGGTAGGATTTTCTCTCCCACATACTAAATCATCAAAAGATTAATAGATAAACAATGCATTTCACTAACTATCACATCATTTATATCATGATATATAATCCATCTAACTGCAAAACACTGCATACTTGATATGTACGGGTTATATAGTTCCTATTTTTCAATCATGGTCTGACCATTTTCATTGTTTACAGTTGATTTTCTCTGCAAACATACTAGTCTGTTATAATGTTTTAATATATATTTTGTAAATATTTAATTTAATTGTCTTCTATAGTTGCTTTCTGGAGATAGGAACATCATATTTTAACTACAGATTGTACGGTGTATGATTGTGTAAGTGAGAAAAATAAAAGTGAATTGATACAAAAAAAGGACTTAGTATGCTCATTTTCAGTTTTCATATTAGTATTTTGTTCCTTTAATGTGACATGTCTCCATGCTTTAATGTTCAAAAAGCTCTTTATTATTATCATACTGCCTGTGCTGCAGCTCCTCTTTTCACCTTCTATCTGAAACCAAAACCCTGTTATGATTGGTCAACCACTTGGAGATGTCCCGCCCCTTAGCCTATCACGTACAAAGTGTTGGCGTGCTAGCCAATAGAAGCGTGAGTGTTACGTTAATAGAGTGGTGCAGTGACGCGTCCTAAAACCCAGAAGTAAGCTTCTTTCCGGTTCCCTCGAAAAAAAGCAATTTCTCCATAGGATTTTGGAAAATAGCTGGAAATAAGGTCTGTGGTTGACACATATTTAAGAGACGGATCACGTTTTGTTCAGCCGGATAATCTCCACATGTTTACCCTACTTTTATAAATTATAAAAGACCTTATTTCGAGCTATTTTCCAAAATCCTATTTTTTGTCGAGGGAACCGGAAGCAGCTTACTTCCGGGTTTTAGGACGCGTCACTGCACCACTCTATTGGTGTACATTTGCTTCTCTGTTATGTCTTTCCCTTTTCCCACTAGGATATTAAGTAACAGTACACAAACTGCAATGTGGCATAGTGGGAGAAAGAACTATGTTAATACAAAACATCTGCAGATGGTTTTAGAAAAAAACAGTCCAAAGTTAGGTTATTATCAAATGTAGTTAATTGTGGTTTGCAGATCTTGAGTCAGAATGTGTGTGTCTTAAGTTTCCACCTTTGTCCTCAGAGATTTTCTGCATCAGCTCGTACTCCTCGGTCTTCTCCCGCTCCAGGTTGTGTTTGATCATCGCCTTCCTGATGACGGCTGGAGTCTTGTCCTGACTCGTCACCTGAACCAAAGGGACAAACATCAGAGCCTGGTATCTCTGTCGGAGCCAAACTGCCTGTAGTCTCAACAGTTTCAGATAAACATCATTTTTAGTTCTATAGTTTCCGGGTTGAGTCAGTGAAAAGGGTTAGGATTAGTCACAACAAATTATATATATATATATATATATGTTTAGAGATATATAGTTTAATTTTCCCCCTTGATATGATTTTTTAAAATAATGAATTTATTAGTTTAATAATTATTTAGATTTTTGTAGTATTTATTTATATATATGCTCTCTTTTTTTGATATCCCCCTTTATGTGTGTATTCGCAATTTTTTTGTTTAATCACTTTTAGATTTTTTAATTGTTAATTTATATTGTTTTATAATATTATAATTATCCCCCTTAATATTATTCATTTTTTATAAATGTTCAATTTATTTGTTTTATAATTCCTTACATTTTATGTATTTATATACATGTTTAAAAAAAAAAGTATTATCCCCTTCTATTTTATTATTTTTATAAATGCTAAATTAATTAGTTTAATTATTATATTGATTTTAAATTATTTATAAAAAATGCTTATGAATTCGAAGCATATAATAAGGCACGTTTCTTTTTCTTGTTCGTTTAAACTGTATTAAGGATTTTATGAATCCTGCAAAATACAGGGAATAAATATAACATAAATAAAACATTGAATACATTTGTGGAATAAAGTCATTGCAAAATGAGTAGACTATAATGTAAACAGGATTTTAGGAATATATGCTACTATTAAAAAGGAATGAATAAAGAGGTATCAAAAGGTTATAAAAGCATCTGAGTTTTGCTAAGCACATATTATCCTGTATTATAGTTGTATTTAACATGAATACTCTGGAACTAACACTATATTAAGCAAGGCAGATAACTCAGAGATCGTGATGTTATGCATATTGAGATACTTTCTACAACAAGAACACTTTGAACGTTTCCTCACCAGGATGCTCTTGTACATGTTGCCGTTCTCCACGTCCAGGCTGACCCGGATGATGCAGCAGTCGTCCACCTGCTGGTTGTACAGCGGCAGCGACAGGGTGGAGTAGTTGGACACTGCCGACACCGAGCGTTTGTGTGAGCGGGAGGCGGACAGCGGGGTGGAGGAGGAGACGGAGGAGGAGGAGGCGCTGCTGGAGCCCGAGGCCGAGCCGGAGCTGTTCCCAGAGGTGTCCAGGGAGGAGAGGGACGTGCACTCCCAGAACTGAGAGGAGAGCAGAGGAGGGGTGAGGACAGAACATCGCTGGACACACAGGAGGCTGACGCTGTTCTAATCATCCATAGAGTGGTGCAGTGAGGAGGGATTTGTGTATGCCGACCAGCAAGTTAGCATCACACGGACCCCGTCAAAAGTAATGGGATTTTTACATTGGATTTCGGAATATTGGTCCAAATAAACTCTTTGGCAAACACAGATTTATGATACTTAAAACTTTTTGTTCAGCAGTATAATCTCTACATATTAAGAACACTTTATGATTTTTGAAGCGTAAATGCAATCAGCAGAAGTCAAAAGCTAACATTAGGCTATAAACAAACGACAGCACGGTTGCATGGCTGTGCATCACCACCGCTAAGCTAAAGGCGGCTAATGCTCAGCGAGACGACGTTTATTTGTCTCTTTTAGTCATTTGTTAGCAACTCCTGTTTTTATGACACATAGAAGTATAACAACACTTTAAAATCTCTTCAGCTTGTGTTAAGCACAGATTTGATTTCTGGCTTCTAACCAAAACATGTTCGGAGGAAAGTTGACTACGAGGAAAAGGAACCGGAAGTGGTGAAATGTCAAAAGTCATTTCCAGGTTTTGGGATATATATAGTGCGCCCAGGCCTCCGGGAAGTGTGCTGGATGCTGGAATTTTCCTGGTGGCCAAACAGTTGTAATACAACTTCCATGTCAGTTTGTGATGTCGTTTTAGCCCAAAAATACTTTTTCCCATTGACTAACATTGGGAATGAGATGCTGCTAATCAGAGGATTTTAAAAAATAAACAACGCAGCACGAACATTTTTATAGCCCATATTTAAATTATTAAGGTTTAAAATGAGTTAAAAGCCGAAAACCAGAGTAATTTTCCCACTCCGTTCATCTGACCGAGCCAAGATTGACCATGAGGGCTTTTCGTTTGGAGGAGGGTTTAAGCAAAATGCAGGTGCTCTATGGACCCAGATACGGGTACTTTTGCTCTTGAGAGTCAGGTCATTTTGACTTCATGGGCCACTGAGCAATTTTCATAGGAATGAACGGGGTCTGTATCCAGTTCTCTTTATACATCCATGACGGCACCACTCTATTCCTCTTAATTAAACTACTACTCCATCAATTTTACATATGAAGATTTGCTCACTTGTCTCTAAGAGTGCTGCTCAGCCTCAGATGTGGGTTTACCAGTTTTAACCACGTCGCCTCTATCACTTTTCCAACCCACAAAAGATAAAACCACTCCATCTTCCATAATATGAAAGCCTGACACAGCACTGTGATTGGCTACATGGCAAATGTACATTTACATACAGTTTTCCCTGTCTTTGCGACTCTTCAAAGAGCTTTCACAAGTCGGCATTTATTGTGGATTATACAGTAAATGTCTTACTACTGTTATCACTGGCTGCTACTTTATTACTTTTTTTTTTTTTAAATGTTCACCTATTTTTATAATGCGCTACTTATCTTTCATACTGTGAATGTGTAGTAATTTGTAGTAACGTGTGCTTACCTCTAATATGTTAGTCTTTTAGTTTGTCTTTTCTGCACTGTCCCCTTTGCTCTAACATTGTAAATGTCCCCGCTGTGGGACGCATTCAAAAGGTTTCTGATTCAAATTTTTAGGGAGACTAACATTCCCACACATTCACTCAAGGCTGGCAATCCCACATTTGGGGTTAAATATCTTGCCCAAGGACACGTCGCCTGCATGTTGACTGCAGGAGCTGGGGATTGAACCACCAACCTACCGATTGGAGGTCATCCTCTATCCCCTGAGCCACAGCTGCGAATGTGTTTGAATGATTATCTATGCTTTCTTATACTGTGACAAATGTTGGGATGAATCACTCATTTGATGCTAATTTAGCTGCTGGCGAGTTAGCTAGCTTGCTAATTCCACTTTATAAGAATTATATTAATAACAATAATACCTTCAAACAGTCGCACTTATCCAACAAAGTGCTTCACATTAAAACAAAAAACAGCAATAACAAAATGAAAGTACTGAAAGATCAACATACTAATTCCTTCCTGATGACGGATGGAGTCTTGTCCTGACTCGTCACCTGAATCAAAGGGACAAACATCAGAGCCTCGTATGTATGGAGTCAAACTAGCTGAAGAATTTACAATAACGGTGTTTAAATGTAAATAGTAATGTTGTCTCTCTTAAAATGATCTTTAACCACTTTTTCTGCTGTGAAATATTGTGTTTTCTGAAATAAGGTGATCTGCTAGAAGTTATACATGTTTATTCATTAGTTCATGATTTTAAAAATACATGTTACAAAGTGCTTTACATGAAAACACAAAACAAAGCCAAGAACTGAAAGAGCAACATACAAATAAGGGGGCTGTACACATGAGGGTTTTTTTACCACGTCGGCCGGGCTCTGGATGTCTACTCTTGTGCTGAACCTTTTCAAGGTGTTGTTTTTTAAAGTTTTATTAAAATATTGTCCATGGGACGGTAGTGTTACCCTAAAAAACGCTGTTTCTGTCTCTTCTCTGCTACGCTACGCTCTGTGTGTGTTGCGTTTGTGTGTCGGACACCAGCACGAGAGCCGATGATATTAATGATCTTGTGATGTTTTAGCAGCGGTGCTCATAAAATGAATATGGGTGACACAATGGACAGATCTTAAAGTCAGGGTTACGATAGACCTGCACTGAAATTAATTAAATGATCTTCTCCATATTTGCCGTACAGTAGTATTTACGGAAATACAGACATCTCTTGCTGCGATTGGATGTTCTTCATCACATGAAAAAAGTTGAACTATTTTCAATCCTGGTAGCGCCATGGTTGCGCATGCTCGTGCATTGGAAAAAAAGAGCACTGGTGCACAGAGGCGGTGTTGCTCTCATGTTTGAGCACGACTGCAAAATACGCTCATGTGTACGGCCCCTAAGACAGTAAAACCCATAAGAAAGAATACAAAGAATCAGGTGAAAATCAGAAGGGCAAGCAGTGGGATAAAAGTATGTTTTGAGCCTAGATTTAAAGAAGCTACTGATGTATATGCCCTGACGTTTATTCTTAGGAGGCCCCTGCCCGAGGAACTCAAAGAACAAGCAGTGTAAGATAAACAATCTGAGACATACTGAGGAGTCAGACTATTCAGTGCCTTCTAAGTCTTTTAGATAGTTGGATTCTAGCTTAAATGCTACACCGGGGTAACAGCGTCAAGGTTTTTGTCATATGGAAGTGGGCGTGGTTTTATCTAAAGCTGATTGGAAAAGCGATAGGCGCTCCCAGGTCTGATGAAGGGCTGTGAGGTTGAGCAGCATTATGGCAAATGTAGTGTTTTTTTTTTTAGCTTACTACTAGGAAACTAGCCTGACTCTATTGCTTAATTTTCTTTTAATCTTTATCTAATATCTATTTATCTTCACTAGACTGCTGCGGTACCACTTTATAGGCGAGTCCTTTAGGATGTAAACATGTCTAGACTACAGATTTCCCACAGCCTAAAGGTGATGTCTCTAAATGACTGATTATGTCAGACAAACAATCTAAAACCTAAAGAAATTAAATGTGGATGTTAAATATAACTACCAAATGGCTCTATACTTCCACCTGTCAACATGCCTGATCAGATTTGAAGTATAAAAATACAAATAGAAAAGTAAAACTTGTTACCGTTGACGTGTCTGCTGCCAGAGCTTCCCTCCCTAAAGCAGAGACGGTAAGTTTCACAGAGGGAGTCGACGTCTACAGAGAAAGAGACAGAGATATTTTACTGTTTGTACACAAACCAAAATAAAGGTCTCTTACGCTGGTCTTTGCTCCTCACCTTTCTCTCGTGTCCCTCCGGAGAATCTGACAGGAAGCTGGGGTTCACGTCCTCCAGGTCCGAACCACTGGAGCTGACCGAGGTGACGCTGAGAGCGTCCCCGCTGTCCCCCCCGCCCCCCCCGCCTCCTTGGTACGGTCTGTAGTGCGAGTGGTCGAAGGACTTGGAATGAGAGCCGGGGGGGCCGCTGCAGCCAGCCTCCGTCAACTGCCGGCTGGAACAGAAATAATGAGGGGAGATTTAAGTAGGACTTACTTCACCATCAGCAGCTGAACACTTTTATACTGTGCAGTTCAACTGCTTTTTTGTTTCAATATTTAATCTCTTTTTTTATATATCTTTTAATGGACATTTTACTTTAACTTCTAATATTTATAAAAATATTTCATTCTATTTTTTATTTTATTTTATATTTTAACTTATGTTTGTATAAATATCTTCATTTTGTATTTATCCTTTTATTCCACATTCTTTCTTTAAATTTGAATGTATACAAATATCTGTATTCCATTTCTTATTTTTTTGTAATCTATTGGAGAACATTCAACTTTAACGTCTTATGTCCACGTAAAAATATTCTTTATTTTTATTTATTTTTTATTTCACATTCTTACTTAAACTTTTTATGTTTAAATAAACATTTAATTATATTTGTATCTTTTATTGGACATTAGAATAGGACATATTACTTTATCTTCTTATGTTTACAAAAATATCTTTATTTTTGTATTTACCTTTTTATTGCACATTCTTACTTAACTTCTAATGTTTATATACATTTATATTTTTTGTCTATTGTAGGAACATTTTTCCTTATGTTTATTTAATTATCCCAATTTTATTTTATTTGATCTTATCTTTCAAATGCACATTCTTACTTTAACCTATTTGGTTCATATACATATTTTTTTCATTTCTTTTATGTCTTTTATTTCATTCTAAAAATGGAGCCACTGTTACAAAACCAAATATCTCTCTGGACAAATAAAGTTTTCAGATTTGAATTATTTCTTATAATTGTCATAATTAAGAAGGAGGAAGATTATTTGGCAACTTATTGGCTGCTATAACACATGTGGACTCAGCTTATGAATAATCTAAATAAGCATCTGTCAACCCTCAGTTTCGATGAGCTCTGTCACTTACTCGCTCCAGCGCTTCATGATTCCTCCGTTCTTCTTGGCTCTGAGCGTGTTGCTGGCCGACTCCGACAGCGGCTCGATCTCACAGGACAGATTGTAGCTGCGGGAACAGGAAGTCAGGACGATGAGGACATGAATCTGAACTCATCTCAAGGATAAGACTTGAATCCTTCAACACCTCGCGTAGTAAAACTTTATCCAGTCCTGATTTGACTTTATTACACAGACTAACCTCTCTGCCTCGCTGAGTTTTTCCACGCCTGCGAACCACTCCCTGAAGTGGCTGTCCTGAGTGAAACTGTAGTTGTTGGACGCTAACTGGAGCAGTTTGATCTGAGCGATCACCTCAAACTCCTGCAAAAAAAAACAGAAGAGAGCAAGGGAGGGTTAAGAACCAGTTAGTGTGATCTGAACTGGGAGCCACTTCGTTTTTTCTGTTATTTTAGGTAACCAAAAAAGTTTGACCCACCTTTCTTCTCTTCTCAAAGTTGATCAGACCACCCTGAAATAAAAAAACATGAAAAATGGGATGTTAAAAAAATGTGAACATGCCAAAGAGGAAGTAAGGGCCTGTGTCCACATAGCGCCTTCTTCCTTCAGAAAAGTGGCGGTGACTGTAGAGATTGGAGAAGAAGCTTGTTTTTGTCCGTGTCTTTTGACCAAAAAGCTTCTTTAAGCAGATCGTCGGACAGACTCTGAAAGCCGCTGCTAGTTTAACTAACTTACGATACTCAATTACTCACTGCTGAAAGGACTTAGTTACACTAATAGTTAGATTACTTTTGGATTACTCTTTAACATCACCTGAGATGCACCACAAATCAAATGAAAAAGAACAATATACATTTAAACCTAATTTATGCCCTGATCAGCACAGATCCAGATAATCTGTCGTAACGGGCAACATTTCCTTCTCGATGTATGCCGCAACAAGCCTGTTTATCTCTGCTATGCGACTCAAATGTAATCTGATTATAGTAACGCTCCACAAAATAATGCATTACCCCCAACACTGGTGGTCTTGTGACGCTGTGTGGACCTTAATACAAATATATAAGAGTAAAGTCCCATGTCAGATGTCTAACCTCGGTGTAATCCTTCATGGCAGTGTCCATCATCACCAGGTCCGTCAGGAAGGTCCCCAGGTAAGGAATGGTCCCCTGCATCACTCCCTGCTCACACAGGACAGAGGGCAGTCAGCAGAGGTAGGAAACATGGAGGCTGAGACACTTGAATGTAGAGGTTACCATTTGTTCATGGCAGAGGCACAAAAGTGCATGAGATTTTTTCAAAAACAAACTTGTTCTATCGAACAACCTTTTTTTAATATTCGTTTTTTTGCACACACAAAAGATTGCATAAAATCCTACTATCAGTATTTTGATAAGTTTCCTCACTGTTACAGTTCAGTTATTTGTATTTACTCCAAGAGTGCAGTGACTTCACTTGCCATTGGAGGGGGCTGTTTGCACAAAATGGATGAATGTGTGAGAACAACCACATATAGCAGAGGCTTAACTTATTTAAAAAAAAATAAGATTAATATACTTCTGATGCTTCTGATGGACTCACCAGTTCTCTCTGCTGCTGCTGTCTCCTCTGAGCTCGTTTGGGGTTAGTTTCCAAAGTGGCAAACTTTGAAGTGCCCTCCTGCAAAATAACAACAGAGTATGTTAATGTTATGTTAATTTCACAAAGAAAGAAACCATTCTGTGCTATTCTTCAAATCCTGTTACACATTTCACATACAGGGCTTTATTGTCTTCCATCAACAACAACAAATTAACATTGATAAAGAGCCAACACCAATCTTTTCTTGTTATTTTTCAGGCGATAACCCACTCGTCCCTCTATGAACTGGAGTGCAGCTGAACAGTTTACGCTTTTCAACAACTTTTGTGTCTAATTTAACTTTAAAAAAATACATATCTCAATTCTGGGCTGCACAACTTGAATCAAAGTGAAAGACTCTGCCACACACAGCCATGTTTAAAGCTGGCTTGTACTGTATATTTCTGATGTTTCCAAAACACGTATGAACAAAATGAAATTCAAGTCTTTTTAAGACACACAGTGTGATATTATCCGACAACAACAAATATTATATAACCATTATGCGAATGCTTAAAAGGGGAAGCCAGCAATGTAGCAAAGCACAGAGATTTGAAAACAATCTATTGCATCTAATTCAAAATCAATGTTTTGGAGGGTAAGTAAAGTAAATACTTCCTTTAATCACGAAGTAAAGTCTGCAAGGCTTTGCCAAACATTAGGGTTATTTTTACAAGATTTTACAACCACTAAATATATTTGTTTTCAAACTCGTTTCACTGTTTTAACATGAATAGAGGTCAGGCCCTCGAGGTTATCCAGTGGGAACCTCCCTTCATGGATGTTTTGTGGATATCCGCTTGATATACTTCCAAAAGCTTCCAAAAAGAGACCCTTAACCTACGTTTTAAATGAAATTAAATGTGTACTTTGTATGGCAAGTGCACCGAAGAAGAAAGACGTTCCTATAATTACAAAGCATAAAGATGAATGACCACATTTTCTTGAAACGTGTTCTCTTTGTAAGAGCAAAAAGTGGGGGAAAATGCACCCCCCGTCACATTCCTCTGAATGATGTAACGCTGCTGCAGCCTTCTGTAACTGGAGCTGAGCGATCCCAGTGAACGCAGCCTGGCCTGAGCAGATAGAGCGAGAGAGAGTCGACGTCCCGACGTGCTCTCACACCGGCGTCAGATCAGAGCTTTATCTACACATGCCAAAGGTTTCCATCTCCTCTTGACGTCATTGGGGATTCCCTCACTGTTCCACAGCAAACGATATGTGGTAGTAATATCAAAAATAAACATGTCTTGTGCCATTCATTTTTATATTGTACACTTGAATAATAACTAGAGAGCAAAGTCTTGTTTCTGATAAAAAAGTAAATTGAATAAAATAGGGGTTTAAAGGGGCCCTATTGTGCTCATCTTCAGGTTCATATTTGCATTTAGTGTCTCTACTGTGACATGTCTCCATGCTTTAATGTTCTAAAAGCTCTTTATTGTTCTCATACTGCCTGTGCTGCAGCACCTCTTTTCACCCTCTGTCTGAGACCAGAGCCCAGTCTGCTCTGATTGGTTAGCTGGTCGGCTGTGTTGTGATTGGTCAACCGCTTGGAGATTTCCCGCCCCTTAGCCTAACCGTGCGCTGAGCGCTAGCCAATAGAAGCGCAAGTGTTACACAGTGATGCCACTATGTTCAGGAAGTAAACAAAGGAGTCCAATGGAGGCGTTTCAAGCAGGGAGGGGACACAAAAAAGCATAATAGGGCGCTTTTAATAATGATTATACCAAGGTAATGATATTGGTATAATTGGAAAGTGTAAGGTACACCCAGCCGAAAATATATGAATCAGTGAGTCATGTCTCTGAGAAGAAGAGGTACACATTTAAACGGCAATTTAATCTGATAAATAAAATGTTCTTAAATGATTATAAAAGTATGTGATGTTTTCTCAGTACTCAAATGTCGCTTCTTAAGACAGCATGAGAATATGGAAGGTTTACATTTGCTGTGTCATTGCCTCTTGGTCACATCACTCGGCTCTTGCTGTCCTTGTACTGAGTGCGTTCCTATGAGAAGGTGTCAACGCCTCTCCGCATTAAACTCCATAAATCAGATAAATGACGACAGCGATCTGTCAGCGGCACGGAGCCCACCCAGAACATCACAAGTAATAAATTGATGCTAATGTGATCCAACAGAACATGGTACAAGGTGTTCTCCCCCGCAGGATGTGTTTGTGCATGAGAGGAAGTCTACAGATGGGATGGGTCATCCAAGCCATACATCCTGCTGCAATCTGTTTACATGCCATTACCTTATATAACTCTCACATATTAATGTATTGCTTTGTCGGATTAAAAAGGGCCGATTAGAAGCAAATACTTCTCCAGAGACTTCTCCACGTCTCTGGGTGTTACTTATTTTTCTTTAGTTCATCTATGTCATCAACTGTAGTATTATTAGAAGTATTATGTAATATAATGCAACAGTAATTGTGTGTACCAAAAGCTATTACGCAACACGATTACATGCAAAGAGATCAGAGCTGCTGCAAATTACGCTGTTATTCAATAATAAAAAAAGTGATTGTAAATGCTGTGAGCACCTTTCATCCATTATAACCATTAAACATAACACCATTGCAGTCCTTGTGCATATTCAAGTTATTTTGAGTCACACTGTAGTTAACCTGATAGCTACGCAAAGTACCACAGAGTAGGTCACAAATTATTCTGCAGCCAAAATTGCACAAGTAACGCAATTTCATAGATAAATATCATACAAATAATAATATAAAATACAAGAATAAGTGTATGTCGGAGGACCAGCTAAAACGACTTATAAAATCTTATGAGTATTATGTAAGTGGAACTGGTTTAACTGGTTACTGGTTTATAATCTCAATATAATAGTCTGAAGCTATAACATTATTTTTTGATATTTGAAAGGACATAATTTATTTAAGCTGTGACCCACCTTCACCAACAGCTCTCGGCTGAGGGAGTAGTTGTTGTCGTCTGAGAAGATCTCGGACAGCTCGCGGAAGGTGCGGAAACTCTCCCTGTGAACAGACGCAGAGGTCAGGGCACAAAAAACCAGCCCCTCTGCCTTCAGCAATATTCAATCTGTGCATATACACAACAGTGAGGAGCGCACTGCTGTTAACCTACCGTGATACCTCCTCCCAGGTCCTCTTCAGGCGGTGGATGGCGTTGCACTGCAGGGCGGAGAGGATGGCTCGCAACGAGGAGAAGTTCTTCAATATCCGACACTCCTGAACACAACGTAAACAATCATCCAGTCAGAAACGGAGAAGACGAAACTGTGCTGTAACTGTTGATATAATACGGCTTAGTGGAATACTCAATTCTTATTGGTCAATTTGGACATTCAGCAGTCTGCTTAAAAAAAGGACGCTCTGATTAAGAAAGTATGTGCAGTGATATCAATCTGAAGAAAGAAGTCCAGTCAATTTAACGTCAACTAGGCAACAAAAAAAACTGAATAAGAGTTTGAGTATTAATTTTCCTATTTGTGAAAAGCATGAAACGCAAACAAAAAGAAAAACAAGAACAAGAAAAACATCGCAAGAGATGGAAAAAGGTTAAAAGTCTGGGAGAGCTGGCAGAAGAAAAACAGACAGGAAGTACACACTTAAGGGAACAGCAGAAGAAGACAGACAGGAAGTAAAATCAAACATTTCCGAGTGCCAATGAACCTCACCCGAGCCACGTCTATCCACCGCTCCAGCAACCGCGCTCTCTGGTTGGGCTTCAGCACGGGGTTGCTCAGGCAGGTGGTGATGACACAGTTGGTGACGGAGTTGAACTGGGCCACAGTGGCTCTGATGGTGGGGGCCAGGTGCTCCTTGCCTTTCTTGTCCCGCTGAGACCAGATCCCCCCCAGACAGTGGTAGGAAACCACCTTCTTAAACAGGTCCTGGACATAGAGTGGATTGGAGTATTAGTCAGCATGTAACAGTAGTTGCTTGAGATGAAATGATAATATGAAAATGTATAACGTGGCTCTGGAGAAAATCTGGGCAACATTGGAGAGGATTTTTAAAAGATGTAGCAAAGGGAGGCCTTACTAAAAAGAACCAGAGCCCAGTCTTCTGTAATTGGTTAGCTGGCCGGCTCTAATCAACAGCCAAACTACCCAAAAGAAGTGGGAGTGTAACATAGTGATGTCATTACGTTACAGAAGCAAACACAGGAGTCCAATGGAGGTGTTTCACGCAGGGGGGGGGGGGGGGAGAGAGAAACTCTTTTGGATTTTAGCCTTTGCAGGCCATTTACATACAGCATGGGTGTCCAAACTACAGCCCGGGGTCCAAATGCGGCCCGCAGACCATTTTGAATAGCCCTTAGCAATTTCTAAAAGTATAATGACTTAAATATAATAAACTTCTGCTTGTCTTATATTGTACGTCTTGAATATATATGTTAAAAATATATTACACAGTATTCATGTGTTATTAAGCCCAATTTTCAAATAAATTCAGTCAATTAAAGTTGAAAACATGTTCTAACAAATATAAGTTGATAAGAAAAAAGCCCAATAACAAATTTAGATTTTCCAATTTATAACTGAACTTATGAGGTAATATACCTCACCCCTAGTGAGTGGCCCAGCCCTTCGTATATTTTTCTGTATGTGGCCCTCGGTGAAAAAAATTGGACACCCCTGACATACAGGAAAGGGAAATCCCCCAAAAAGCATAACTTGAATTCATCAGTTCATTGTTCCTACAAGGACTTAATAATACATCAAACAATCACCAGTCACAGAAAATACTTTTTCTTTTTACTGATCTGAAAGCCAAACTGAAAAGCAACTGTAGAGGAAGATCTGTTGATAAGGGGAAGGGCAAAGTCCTCACCGCGTCCATGAGCGTGAACTGCTCTGCCACCATAATGGGGTCAAAGCACAGGAAGCTGAAAGCAGGAAGCTCGTCCTCGAAGCCGCTCTCTTCCTGCGTAGCAAAAGGGCAGCCGATGTGTTCCCCTGAAGAGATACAAAATATTGGATTATTTTTCAACAACAGTGCCTCAACCTGAGCTCAACACAAACACAGTCCCTGGACTTCTTCTGCTTCTCATCATCTCTGTGACCTTCATGTTTGTGTTATCTCTGCAGGATGTGGACATTTCACTCAATTTCATGTGACTGCCAGGTGGTCCTTATCACTTTATTATTATTGTTCTTGTAACTTGTACAACCAAACTGTTCTTTACAGCAACAAGTATTACAGCATGTGAACTGACTACAGCTCCACGGAATGTTAAGCTGTCCATGAGGATCTGATGTAACTGATTAACCTAAAAAAAGAAAAAAACAACAGTGCATGCACACAGTGGTGTAATACAGTGAAATATATGTATTCAAGTACTGTACTTAAGTAAGATTTTGGATTACCATTTTATGTTACTTATAGCTATTGTACTTTTTACTCCACTACATTTTGGTAGCTAATATTGTACTTTTACTCCATTACATTTATTTGACAAGATTAGTTACTAGTTACTTAACAAATTTAGATTATTAGCTAATAAAAACATAAATAAACTAAAGCTCTGATTAAAACAAAAATGCATAAATAGTCATAGTTCAGTCATTTAATATATACGAATCTGAGATGGCCCATTACGCACAATAAGTATTTTAACATGTTTTACTTTTTTGTAACTTGATGGCCGATAGATGCAAATGCGTTTCTAAAACGATGGAAATAGAGAAAACACCGTAGTATTTCTACTTTTACTTAAGTATAATATCTGAGTTTTTTGTCTGCCACTGCATGTACACAGCAATGCATATATTGTGACATGTTGTCTATGCATTGAATACATCCTGGTATCAGTTTAGAGAGCTGTGAGGGGGTTCCTTTCTCAATAGCACCTCAGCAGTGTCCAGGAGACAAAATGGCCCCTCTTAAAGTACCAGTCCACGCTTTATACTTGGTCCATTTTGGGACTTAAACCTCTGGTTCCCAACCGAAGTTCCTAAAGATTGAGCCCATGGCCCTGTTTGCACTTGCAATAATAAATAAATAAAATAACAAAAGAATACAAAAAGAAAAAAGTCATTAATTTATTAAAAGAAAAAAAAAGAAAACACAAATCTATCTTTGCTCTCTGACCCTTGCTCTGACCCTTGCTCTCTTCTGGCCCCCCTGCCCTGCTGTGGTCCCTCTCCTGTCCTGCCTTCATACCTTCAGGATCAGGCTCACACTGCTGCCGGCGGTGGAAGTGGGCCAGCAGGTTGCGGGCGCGGCGCTCCAGGTCCGAGCCAGGGAAGTGCAGGCGGAGGTAGGACATGAGCTGGTGCAGACAGTCGTAGGTGGGGGGGGGTCCAGAAGTCCTCAGAGTACTGGTCCAGCCACGCGCCCAGGATGGACGACACAGTGCTGCAACACACACACCATTAATATAAAGATGAGTGCGGAAAACCAAAGACGATGGGACATAAATCGTTGTACATAAAAGGCAGTTTTAAACGGCTAAAGGCTAAATATAAATGCTAAATCAAATGAAAATGAGCAAGCTCACTTTATTAAACATAGCCTGGATTAATAAATAAATAAAATGTTGCTCATCATACAACTAAAACATTTCAATTAGGGTTAACAAACTAATTTAGCTTAATGTTAGCAAGTCATTTCTGAATTAATATAAGCAGTTAGTGTGTTAGCATTAGATATTTTTTCTTATTTTATTACTAGTAAGACATTTTAACAGAGGTTGTTTAAAAATATATTCAAAATCAGTGATGTAATTTCCCTGTCCATGCACGTTTACTAAAGAATTGTCTAATTTTGTGGTATTCATACTTTACTGACTTCCAATTTAATGCCAACACTGCTCAATTAGGTATTTTAACGAAGAAGCTCATTGACCTGACGAGTGACTGTCCTGTGGTTTGAACAAGCAATGCCCACATGCTCTATTATTACCAAACTGAAGAAAAGTAAAAAGAATAATACTATTCACGCCTGCAAAAAAAGCCCCTCCCTCAGCCTGACAGGTGTCTTGCAAAGAAACAGATCGAGATTTAAGCTCTGCAGATATCCCTTCAAGACGTGCAGGAGTGTGAGTCTAATGTACTCTGTGATTATGGTTGGCAGCTGGACCCTGAAGTGTGCGGCAGACTCACTTCCTCAGCTCTGTGCGGTCGTCCTGGGACACTCTGTGTGCTGTGGCTGCGGGGAAGTTTTGGAGCTTGGCATACCTAAACAAGAAGAAACACAAGTTGTTCCATTAAGTGAATTAAATAGCAACATTTAAATACTGATAGAAATAAAAACTTGTAGGCTTCATTTACAAATGTCATACATTTAAATATATTATTATTTAAACCACTTAAACCAGAGTATGACAGCTTTAGTTAATTTCAGAATACAGTTTTTGATCCCCTTCTTGTCTGGTAAAACCTTTATTTCCAGATGTGTTGATTTTGAATGTTTGTGGTGAATAGAGGATAAAGTGTTCTTCCAACAGAAATCATAAAACAGATAAAAGATAGTTACAAATCAAACTTGTAAATACAGTCACATCCCTGCACATAAAACGTTGGTGTACTAAACATTTCCGGGTTCACCACAGGACTCTATGAGCTGCCAACTACACTACTAGGGAAAAGTCTGACATTTTGGGTAACAAAATGATTTATCCCCCTGCCATCACTGTACCTGTTGAGCAGGAGATCCAGCACCTGCCTGGTGGAGGCGAAGGAGCGGTAGGTGCAGAGGAAGATGGTGACGTAGGTGGAGTCTTTTCCCCTGAACGCCGACACCATGTACTCCACCAGCCTCTCCAGCGTGCCGGCCTTGATGGTCCGCACCTTGCAGGTCTCGTAGAGGCTCAAGGCGGAGTCCGTGTCCACGCCCAGCCATCGCTGCCCCTTACTGGCCGACTGGTGGAGCTGCACCTTCCTCAGCGTGATGGTGAAGATGGCGTCATCCTCGGCCTCCTCTCCTATCTCCTGCGTCGAGCTCTACGAGACAAGAACAAACGGAAAATAAGACATTGTACTCCAACTAATGAAATCAGTGGTTTGTTGGGTTATAACCTGATAATACTGTGATATGAGTTCCCTTATACGTCTCAATTATCTATTCACAATCCTCACTGATACAATTGGGGGGAAAAACAGTTTCAGTCCCTGCACTAAAAGTTTATTATCTTCGAGTTTAGATCAATATTGGTGTATTGGTTTATTTACATATAGATCACAAATCGTTCCTTCAAAGGCTGCACAGCGGAGTCCGCTGTTCCACCTGTCATGACCTTAAGTCGTCAAACATGAGAGGGTCAGTGGTTCAATCCCAACCTACGGTGGCCAACAAATGCAAGCGCGCTACCACGGCCCAAAACACTTCCATTAGGTTAGTTATAACCACACAATATCACTATAATATCCCCTATAAAATGACTAGAATAACCCTATCATGAATATGATTCAAGATGTTTGATGTTGGAACAAGCTTTAAGCAAATTAGAGAGAGCTGAAGACAGAGAAAAGATGCCACCGTGTTAAGAATGTCTGACATCTCATTTTAGGACGAAAACCCTTTAATTATGACCATCTGTGTGACACGCTCTCATCTTTTTTTGGTCCCTTCATTGAGTCATACTCCGTGAATCATGCGTGGCCGTGCACATTCAAACAATAGCCCGTAACTAACCAGAGCTTACTGGATAACCGGCACTACAACACAAGCTGCAGCCTGTATATAACCCAAACAGGGAATTAACGCACGCCGCTTGTAGCATGAATGAGAGCTCTGTAGGCTGTTTGCATGTCACCATCGCTGCATTTTGTTGTTCTTTTTTTCCTGAACATAAAAAAGAAAGTGTTGACAGAGATGGTTTCATGCTGTCAACATGTCGTACATGTGACCCGCATTAGTGCTGCTGATAGTTACACAACAGAAACCAATGGATGGGTTACAAAACTAAACTCATCTTCAAGTCAAGATAGGCTTATTGACCTCTGACAGAGTATTACCAAATATCTGTCACAATCCAAAAGTGACCACTAAACTGCATTAATAATAACGTAATTATTAGGAATTTAGGGGTTTTCCCTTCCCTGTAAGAAGTTGACCAAAAACAATAGAGCCTGCCAGTTAACCAGAGCAGACTGAGCTTCTGCAGCACAGGCAGCATGAGAAGAATAACGACCTTTTTGAACATTAAAGCATGGAGACATGTCACAGTAGAGGCACAAAATACTAATATGAACCTGAAAATTAGCCTAATAGGGCCCCTTTTCCAAGTTAGGGTATCTAAGGTTGTGAGGACTTGCTACTTTACTTCCTCCTATGTCAAAGTCATCTAAATATTATTCAGTTTTAGATAGCTGGTGAGAAAGAACTCAATTTTCAGATGCTACCCTGGGCTTTTAATGGACATATTTTACTAACTAAACAATATTAGCACGTTTTCTCCACTTTTTTTTCAAAATGTGATTGTATTATAATAATAATAATAATACATTTGATTTATATAGCACACTTTAAAAACAACGTCATCTCAAGGTGCTTCACAAAGCTATAAGAAGAAAATAATAAAACAAATAAAATAAAAAGATATCTAAGGAGCATATTGAGTAAAATATGGTAATATAAAAAATAAAAATAAAAGGTTAAGAGCATAAAAGGTTTCAAATAAAATAAATAAATAAAGTAAAGGACAGTCAGTAAAATGGGGTTCTTATTAAACCAAGAACATTTATTTTTGCTTTATATGTGATTATGTGTTTCAACCCAGTTACTGAAATGATATGATTTTGCTATGAGTATTAACATTTGGAAATAAAAAGGTATTAAATGTATTGGGAAAATATCTACATTTTGAAATAGGAACTGAATTTGGAGAAAAAAAAATCCACAAAAGGGTGAATGAACTCGAACTGGACTGAATGAAAACAAACTCGAGACCAAAACCAGTCACAGCCCTGACCAGGAAGAGGTCAAAGTCATGGATACTGGAATATTGATTTAAAAGGACTTGGTCCGTGCTGATGACTTGCATAAGTAGAAGCACTGACAAGACTGAAAGGGGGCTATAAGAATGCTGTACATTTTAGATCGCTCAGAAGCACAAAGTTCCAGTAGTCTTTGTAGTATTTCTATATATTGCTGTAGCTTAGTGATATTGTATATTGTAGAGTATTCCATTTATTCAATATTTTCATTATATTGTCTATTATTTAGATACTCTTGTGATATATGTCCTTTTTATTGTGAATTTGTATATACTTCCTGCCAATGTTCATTTTTATTATATATAAAGTTAGGCCGCTAATGTTAATTTTCTTTAATTATATTTGTATCTAATTGTATCTTTTCAATATTTGTAACTAGTGTAATGCTTGACAACACTGCTGCTGTGAAAAAATGATTACCCAATTTGGGTTTCATAAAGTATTTATCTATCTATTTATCTATCTAGTCTAAACTCGATTTTCTTTGGCACAGAGAAGAGTTTCCAATCTGCAGTCAGTATAACTGCTAAAGATGGGCCTGACAGTGTTGAACATGTACCTCTAAATAGCCGAGCTACAGTGTGAGTCATTGAGGCCCCGGTGGAGAAATGGCATGTAATCTGGCGTGCCACAGTCAACAAGGCCCCTGGTAGTGCATACTGGGAGCATTAGTCACCAGAGTCCATTTCCAAGGCTCAGCGTGACTCCCTGTGCTTCACTGCCTACTTTTTTTTGTGGGTCAGGGATCTATTCGGTAACATCAGTCAACGCCAAGTCCCTCTGTTGTGTCTTTGTTACCATGGAGACAAGCGCAAAATAAGGATGGCTGGGAATTTGGAAAAAGTGATCATCAAGCTCAGCTACTGTTCTTGTACTTAGGATTCAATGATTTGGATAAGCAAAGAAGTGAAATATGTGAAATAGATCTGTAAGATATGACACAAAGTTAGTGACACATCACAAACATTTTCAGGGTGATATCTCAATGGGTAGTGTCTGGTTTTCTTTATGAAAAATCACCAATTGGGGGGATGTTTAAGACAAAGAGAGTTAAACTATTAGATATGCTTTAGTAAATGACATTTGTTCACAAAAACAGGATATTTGGTGCATAATGTGATTAATTTCAGTTAAAAGAGGGAGGCTTTTTGGTCAACTGTAGATTGACTGATATACATTAGTTTGGCTTTCCATTGGGTTACAAATGGAAGAGAATGAAGTCTAGAGGTGAAACCATTAAATAAGGGAATGGACAGAAATGTTCAGCAGTTAGACATTTTAATAACTATTTAATAGTCATTTAATTAATTACCTTGTCAGATGCGAGTATTTGCTAGTTTCCAAAGGCTTCTAAGATAGTAAACATCTAAAGACTACATGTTATTTTCTGTTCTAGGGAATTGATAACTTCATGAATCTATAATACAAAGACCCATTTTTAGATAATTAAAGTTAAAACTTGACTTTAGCAGTACTCTGGTGTGTTTAGGTGTCAGTCCTCCAACAGGAGAGTAAGATCAACATCCTTACCTACAGGAATAACATCAAAACACACAGGGTTACAAATAGAAAAGGGCTGATGCTGGTCATAGCAACAATATGTGTTCTTAAAAACAAGAACAAAAACTGGATAAAGGCATAAAACTGGCTCCTACTGGAATCTCTTGTACTATTTTATCTGTTTGACTTGTTTTATGTCCTATATACAGTATATTCATGTTGCACTGTTGGAGGAGCCTGTGACTTAAGTGTTTCATTGCCATATCTACACTGTAGCTAATGTGCACATAACAATAAAGCCTTGAATTTTGAATACCAACCAACTGTCCACCAAAAAATATACTAGAGAGTAAATAAGCAAAAGTGTTTCCAGAACAATGAAAGAACCAAGCTCACACACAGAACCTGAACTCCAGTACCCTTGTTACAGAGGGAGGGGTGTGTGCCAGATAAATGGGGAGAGGAGACAAACCCCTGGCCTGTTGTAAATCCTGCAGAGTATAATGGCGGAGGCACAGCTGCGGCCGAGGGCCTTGACAGCACGAGAGGTTCTTATCAGCCAAAGCACAGGGGCCACTATCGCTTCAAGCCCTGAAAAATGCAGCGCTCAAGGCCAGCGCCTCGCTCCATCAGACCAGTCAATTCCCACCATAATGCTCCTATACATCCAGTTGCCATGATAACCAAAACTCTTGTTACTACTTGAACAAAACAATCAATAATTTGACCAGAAAGGTTCAGAGACAGGAACAACAAAAAGCCAAGATTAACTGAGGCGCTTAAATGCTAAAACATTAGACTTGGTGGAAGTACTCAGATCTTGTACTTGAGTAAAGTACCAGAGTTTAGGTCTGATTTAAGACTTGATTATATTTCACATCATTAATCCAAATGTGAACATTAACTAAAGGTATTAAATAAATGTAGTGGGGTAAAAGTACTTAAGTACAGAACTTGAGTAAATGTACTAAATTACTTTACACCACTAAAATCAGTCTGAAATCGGAAATCAGAACCATGCGGGAACATTAATTGTTTGCCTGTTGACAAAGCATGACCACAAAGACAGGAAGACAACAGACGGCTTCAATAACGTTGGCAGGTTGCTCTTAAATCTGATGAGTTCTTCTCTTATAGAATCTTTCTAAATGTTTGTAAACCCTAAACCGAAAGTGAACACCTCTCTGATCAAAGAACATGGGTGCTAAAGAATATGAAAAGGGTTTTGCCGTTCAATCAGGGCTGCAGTCTCTCAGCAGACTGCACCAGCCTCCACCAGTTGAACAAGCCACAGCTTCTTCAACTGGAGCAAAGTGCACTTTCATTTTCTGACAATGGGTCAATAAGAGGGGACTGCCTTTGAATTGCCTCTTTAAAAGAAAATCTAAGATAGTCTCTCACATTCCTTCAGTCTGACTCAGGCTTAGTCAACCAGATCAGCACCAACTCGGTTACCAACACACAGGAAGTGGCTTCTAAACATGGGCAGCCCTGGAGCAAGACAT